ATCTATCTATCTATCTATCTATCCATCTATCTATCCATCTCTCTCTCTCTCATTGAATACAGGCTGAATCTGAGGAACTGGACACATCTCTGCTTCTGCCGACTGACAAGGCCCTCCATCTCTGCCTCCAAACAGTTTTACCTGACATCTGGAAGTCTATTCTGTTCAAAGAGCAGTGAAATGCCAACAAACACCAGTAGTACTCCTCACTCAACTCTGGAGAGTGAGGGAAAGACTTTCCAAACATAGCGCTGCTGCCTAGGAGGCCATAAGTGACAGCTGACCCAACACTCACACACACACACACACACACACACACAGCTGAGTGCCAGGAATTACTCTTCCCAGAACAAATATGTGTGAACCTGCTGTCAGTTCCAGGTGTTTTATTGGCTCCCCTGGCTATTAAGATTCAACACAAAGCTTTGTGGTGGACCAGGCAAAATCTGTCAGTGACATTTCGTTATAAAACTGAACTCTGAGGTCAACATTTTCTGCCTGAATTACTACAGCACAAAGAGCAACATGCAGCCTCACCACATCTTTTCCCCTGATGGTGTATCCCTGGATGACTGCCTCTTGGATGTTGGTGCTGGGAGCAGGGATGTCATTCTTGGTTAGTGGTTCCTGTTTCTTCCCTTGAGCTATGCTGTGTGTCAGGAAGTTAAATTTGACAGCAACACAGCCCATGCTTTCCTTGATCTTCCTGTATCAGGAAGAATACAAGCTGTTATTTTGAGAATCAGATTAATAAAAGACAGACTGTGTGCATCAACTTACTTTGTAAAGTAGGATGTGGCTTCCAGGTCTGTGTCATGAGGTCTGAGGTTGTTCTGGACATACTGCAGGTCATTAGAGTCCTTCAGTTCTGGCATCCCTGCATGCAGCATCTGGAAACCAAATGTGCACCACAAATGAAAAGGTGTTTTATGTATTCTCAGATACAACTATGAAGGTGATACCATGGTTACTTGGTAAAGGTCTTACCAGCTCCAACAAGCTGAGTATGAGTGCGGAGCGCTGTCTGATTATGTTGTAAGCTTCACAGCAGAGCTCCACAAAGCGATGCAAGCGCTGAGGCTTCTTCCCCCCACATGAGATAAAGTGTTGCATCTCAGATGTATAGATGAACGGTGATCGGTCCCTATCATTGCAAAAAAAAGAGTGGGGGGAGGTTCTTGTCAATTCACATTATTGTCTGTGACTTTATACTTTTCTGTATCTCCTTTTTGCTCAAACAAAATCCCCACTCTTTTTACTTCCAAACTACTGCTTGACTTTTTATTGACTTACCTTTTAAAGTTTCCAAATTTCTGTGCATTGCCCATAATCTTGCCAAAGTCGATGTGAAACATATGTCCACTGTGTTTCAACATGATGTTGTCATTGTGGCGGTCACAGATCCCCAGGATGAAGGTGGCCACGCACCACCCTGCACACGAGTGGATGAAGTTCATCACAGCCTGCACATATACAGTAAGAGAGTGTTTAACAAAAGCAAAAGTGAATATTCAATTGCACGGTCAAGTATAATGGTTATCAAAGATTTTGTAGTGGTCTTAACCTCCTCATAGTCCTCCTTAGTTTTGTTCCACATGTGGAACCATTTCTCTAGTGTGTCTTTTCGAAGGGTGCCACCCAGACCCCATTCCTGCTGAATCGTCCCAAGGGTCACTGCCTCTGGAACCACCTCCACCAGGCCTGACAAACACATAGAATATATGTTGGAAAACATGGATTCACAACCACAGAGATATAAGACAGAGAAACTATGTGCATTTAAAAACACAAACTAATAAACTTACCTTGAGCTCGTCCCGTAGAAAGACACCTGTAGGTGATCATTCGGAGGTCCAGCCCCTCCTGGAGCCAAATCCTGTCCATCACACGGACTATCTGAAGTACCAGCATGTCCTGACGCAGGTTATCTCCTGTCTGAACAACACATTCAACTGAGTAATGAAACAGTTGAGTCAGCAAGACAGCCTAACTGCCATCTCACAAGTATCCTATTGATGTTGAGCTGTTTCTGCAAGCTGCTCTGTAAGTGACCACAAGCTTTGATTTCCCCTTGAAGGAGACAAGAAAAAAGACAATGGGCCTCATGCGAGAACCACTCGTACGAACAGATTCATTCTGATGATTTAAGAAAAACAGTGGCTGTGAGAATTGCTCATTTTGCATATTTTGGCAAAGCAGCTTTTCATCTTCTGTTGCAGCGTACAGTGCAACATCCCCAACTGTATGCTATAATATTATCCCTTCTAATATCTCAGTGATTGCCACATGAACGCCTTTCATATTAGTCATGGATCCCTTTGATTTAGAAATGCATTTTTAGCATCTAACTTAATGTCAACCCACTCTCCCTTTCACAGTAGCTATCCTCTGATAACATCTTGTGGCAGCTGTAGTAATAATATTTTCTAATACAACTACTAACACTTTCTTTTATTCATTTTTGTGAAAACTGCCTACAAACAAAGTAGAACAGGTAGTCTTATATGATAATTTTAGGAGCATTGATTGCGCTAATGATGTAGTCTCACACATGTGCACTCCTGAACAGGTGATATACATCAGACTTGAACAAGTGATTTATGACAAGTGAAAATCTCTAAGAAGTTTAGGATAGGAATATATGGACATTGATCGGATGACGTTTTCTGGATCTGTAAAGTAACATATTATTACCAACCTTGCAGATGACACTGACATTGTGGGCCAGAGGGTCAGTGCAGATAAATGAGATCCCCAGAGGAGCAGCATTGGAGTTGTAGAACTTACAGGCCTGTAAGTAACATGTCAAAAGGAGTTAACACTCCTGCTATAGAACTGTGTGCATATTAGATTGCAGCAATGATATAACAGGACAAATAAAAGACCTGGCAAGCTCAATTTTAATGTCTTTACAGTCTGAGAGGTGTCGACCCCAAAAAGCCTAGGGCTGAAACCGTGTCGATTTTCTTCTGCTAAAAGTATTATAGGTAACTTATATACTTATTTGCCAGTGCTGACAACTTTATTCACTATGACCTTAAATGTGTTGTGTTCTTACATCCACGTCCAATGCCTTTACACGGACTGCAGGATCCAGTGGCAGACAACAGCTGATCCCATTTCTGAAGAAGTCATCAATCTTTAGCTTTTCTTTCATCAAAACATTCTGCAGAGAGATGCATAAAATGAAATAACTAACTAAATAAGTTCAGTAAACCAGTCATAACAATATAGAATATCGAGCCATTGAGTGGGTGAGTAAATGAATAAATGAGAGATCTGTTTACAGACCTTGCGTCGAGTCTTCTCAGCAGTGCAAACCTTCTCCGCCACGTGTACAAGCACAGACACCAGGCGGGTTTCATGTTCCAGCTCCTGCCTCAGTGCCTGGCCGCAACAGTGCCGCAGTGCAGCCTGAACCTTACTGAACCAACTCTGGTAGTAGGGGTCATTGTGGGCATCCTCCAGCAGCCTGTCAGCATGTACAACAGTAATAATTGATGATATATTCATTCCCCTTATAATATTACTGGGGATTACATCATCTCTAAAACTTCATAACTTGCATATCTTGACTGAGATTTTCTTGAACAGCAGTGTTAGTAGTAATCCAAAATGACATTCCCTCAGTTTGATGTCTGCTCACCAGTAGAGTTGCTGGGCAATCTGAATGTTCTTCAGTGATCTCTCCAACAGCAGCATCACCAGAGGTCCATCCAACTCCCACTCACTCTTCAGAGCCTGCAGGACCGGATAACTGATCAAACTAATGTCAAACCACTGAGGAATCTCTAGAGTGTGACACCCATTCTCATATTTAAAATCCGATGGCTTAAACCAACTAAACATTCACCTGGTCTTGTGCTAAAATAATAAGCTCTAAAGACAGATACAGGATGTGTGTATATGTGTTAGTGTGCTTACCTGGACCAACTGTGGCAGAAACAAATCTAGCTCTCCATCTGGTATCTGTTCAAAGTAGTGAACTGCAGCCCTCCGCACAGTCTGATCATGCATACTGAAAAAAAATATATAAACTCACCAAACAAGACTAATAGAAAGCTGAATCATGGTTGTGATCACAGATATTGCATTCACTGTCCCAATAAAGACACATTAAATTAATAACATGAGAAGTACCACTCCTACGAAAGAACTAATAGATATTCACGATGAGAGTGTTTAAATTCAGCTGTAACAAGTACTTGAGTGTTTGATGAGCAGCTTAAGTGCTACATAAACACAAAAGTGTGCACCTTCTCTGAAAACTGAATTCCTTTTCAGTGAGTTTGGTTAGTTATTTTTCTTTTATATGTCGGTTCCACAGCCTGTCAGCGAAGGACAGACACAGCCAGAGAGAAACTAAGTACTGCATATAGTACTGCAGAAACTGAATTTATGACCAACATATGGAAATCAGGGAGCATATAAAGGAGCAACTAAACCACATACTGCTGTCAGTGGGCGAAAGTACATTTACTCAAGTACTGGACTCAAGTACAGTACATTTTTAAGGTACTCGTACTTGTACTAACTTTTATGTTTCATTTTATTTTTCACTACATTTTGGAGGTACATGTTTTTTATTTGACAGCTTTACTGATTAGAATTTGTAGATTCAGTTAATACAAAATATCAATTAGCTCATACATTATGATATTATTATGGATTAAGCTACCCAGCAGTATATAAAGTAGCTGAAATTAGCCACCCTTTATCAAGTGCAACATTAGTGACACTTACACATTAATGCATCATTAATTGTAATCCAGTGATATAAATATGATTCTGAAATTAGCCATTTTGCGTAACTTTTTTAGGTACTTCAAGTATATTTTGATGCTTATACTAAGATTTTAAATCAAGGACTTCTATTTGTAGTAGGGTTTTTTTACTCTGTGGTATTACTACTTTCACCTCCCCCACTGCAGGAAGTACTGTAGCTATGAAGCAAAACACAAACAAACAGCAATAAAACAAGCCTTTCTTCATGTTCTGAATGTTATCTTTTTTTTATTGGTCCAGGCAGCTTTGCTGTGTCCACATTTCTGTAATTAAGCCAGGTGTAACCTACCTGTCACTGAGCAGGAAGAGGGCCTCTTCAGGTAGATGGATTGGCCAGTTCTCTACAATTGTGTAGATTTCTGTCAAGTCTTCAGGCTGCCACCGGGGGACTGCACCCAGCAGGAGGTGGAGGAAAGTACTAGCTTTCTCACTACAGTAACGCTTACTCCAGAGGAAAGCCTTCTCATTTTGTGTTAGACTGGGGAAGGAGATACAATGACAGGAATGTGTTTAGGGATAATAAGAAATGTCTAAAAATATGAAAATCATAGCACAGCACATGTATAGTATTTAATAATATAATGTGCATTGTACTCACAAGCAGAGGCAGTGCTTCTTAGAGACATCCAGCATTTTCTTTTGCAAATCCTCACAAGGCTGAGTAAATATGACTGAACCAGGCAGTGCAATGGATCTCTGATACTTCCACTCAAAATTATCCTGAAACTGGAGCTGGGGAACAAAGGGAGGATGAATGTTTGAACAGGTAATGTGGTGTGGTTTTTGTTTTGGTCAACATGGGACAGAGTTGTCCAGCACTTCTGACCTGCAGTATGACCCCGATGGGCTGTCTGTGACTGTCAAACAGGGCAGGAGAGGGAGGAGCAGCAAGCTCAGCCAGTGTGGACATACTGAGCAGAACGGTCCCATTCACCAGAGTCCTAGACACACAGTTCAAATACTGCATGTTACCTATTTCACAATTGTGCCTAAGAGCTCAGGAATCAAACCCCTCCAACTTCATCCTGTATAAGCATTTAGTCGTATGTGAAGTTTGAATTTTACACCAGTACAAAAGTGTTAATATATGTACTTTACGAGATGGGTTAACATTGTAGAACACCTACTGGTTGCTGTAAAGAGGTAGTACAGCCCAGCCTAAAAGCTCGGCATTCTTGCCACGCTTGGAGCCCTTGAGGCGAAATGTCATCATGGTCTCATATGGCAGCTGATTTACTGGAACAGGGAACACCATCCTAAAAAATACAGTGAAAACAAATGTCAGCCATCTATTTATGGTATCATTTAAATCTTTTACTTTGCTCTTTGTTCTTATATTTTTAAAATATTTTTTCTATTATTGCTTATGAATCTGTATCAAAATTAAGTGATATAAACTATTTCTCACACACACTTATGACACAACAGACCAGTACAAAAAGAGCCTGGATCAGATGGTCATTTCACCAAAGAGACAGTTTCACTTCCTTATCAGTGACAATGGAATTCTTATGTGAACAAGGAACGAATAAGTTGAATATGCTAAAAAAAACATTTACACTTGGAGACACTTACATGCGGTTACACTGGATCTTGTTTCCGAACGATAAGGCCGTGCTGATGTTCTCAGAAATACCAGTGTCACAGATCTTTGTTCCTCCAAACGTCAACTCACAGGAAACAGAGAAGAACTCATAACTAAAAATGGAGAGAAAAGAGAAAGCCATAAAACCCAGTGTTCATATCAGGGTTGTGGTTAATTTGTATCTGCGTGCATGTATTTGGGTCTGTACATGCGCGCATAAAAATGTCTGTGTGTCTGTCTGCGACTGCAAATGCACACATACCTGCTCAACCAGGAGAGTTGTAGTTTGTAGAGAGCAGCGATATTAAATTGTAAGATTTCAGAGTTATCATCCACGTCATGTATTTGTGGGGTTCTGGTTACCTCTTCGCCTCTGAAGTCTGAATGGAAGTTGTCAAAAAAGATCTGCAGCACTTTTTGCAGTGCGCCATGGAGCATGATCAAGGCTAGAATACAGAGAATAAATATCAGTTTAGACAATTTAAAAGTCAATATATAAAAACAGGTAACACTTCACTTTAAAATCCTCCTATTTAGCATTTATAAGCAGTGTACAAACATTTAATAAATGGTTTAAAGCAATGCAGTTATAAGCACATTTTAAAGTGTTTATTAATGTAAGGTATTTATGAACAACGCCTACGTTTCCTGTTTTCCTATGAAGAAATATTTTACATTATTATTACACAAATGTGTTTTAATATATTATCACTCATTATCGGTTTATACATCTGCCTCCACGTATTAGTGCCCACAGGACGAGTTATAGTTGGTGACAAATATATAACACTATATATGCTTACAACTACATTATAGTGTGTTATAAACCATTTATACTGCTTATTAATAGAGGTTAAGACTTGTACCATATAACCACAATGACCCTGTGTTGATTATAAACCACAACAATGGCATTATAGTTGAGTAACAGCTTCTCACCAGTTTCACACTCAGACATCTCATCATGACTCTGCAAAAAAAAAAGGAGGAAACACAGCATTGTACTGTTGATCAGAGGCATAAGAAAATACTTCACATTTCTTTGGTGCACAGCAGTGTTACAATAACTCGGCAGATGGGAAAAGTGGTAGGATTGAACTGTATGATTTATCGCAAAAGACCTACCAGAGGTGTGGGAATTATTCGGTTGAGCCTGCCAATAGTGTCCTCCAACTCCTGACACGAGAGCCCACACAGAAGATTGCTGATGGTGCGAACACAGCCCACGAGGACATTAACGTTCATCCCAGACTACAGACACGATGAGATCAGATCCAAGTAAGAGAAATACCAGAACGTCAGCTTAGGATACATCACTCCCACTGATACATCTGAATTAGCCTGAGGTGGTAAAGCCCACATTATATAGGTTTAAAACAAATGCGAAAAATAACAAATGCTGATGGATATGTGTGTGAGAGAAATAAAGTGTTATCCTGATTTTACTGACCCTACATCTCATCAGATCTGTCACCTCTCTGCTGTAGCTTCTGAACACCTCTTGCAGACTAAACCTAAGAGAGGAGGAAAGGTTAAACATGCAACAGATCACAAAGTGGTAGGAAACCACAAAGCAAAGCTACCTTTCTGAATGTTTTCTACAAACAGACATCAGTTGACACATGACCCACTGAACAGTTGTTATTGAACCCATTTCACAAAGCTGATGTGGGACTGCCCGGCATCTTACTTGCAGGTGTTGAAAACACAGCCAGGGCGCAGGAGCTGGTACAGTTGGCATGAGGGTTGGTCATCCTCCCCCTAAGAGAAGAAAACATAGTTTAAAATACTGATAGCCGTGTAGGATTGTGGCAATTTATTGTGTACTGTTCCTCAATATATATATATATATATATTTTATATATATAAAGTATGTAAAATATTTAAATAGCATTAATTGGCTTTTTTATGACTATAAATGTAAGGACACATTAGCTTCACTTTTATTCTTTTTAATACTTGCTGCTAAAAGCCACCTGCCATGACGTGATGTGTAAACAGAACAAAGTCAAGAAGTCAGGGTGGAGGTTTTTACAGCCCTGATGATAACACGCTGGCCGGGGGCCAAGCACAGGTGTTTAAGAAAGCAGTATTTCAAGACTGAAGACAGGCAACCCTGTGGGAACAGAGAAGGAGTTTTAACTGACTTACATCCCTGGCCAGACGGTGTTTGAGGTTGTTCAAGTGGAGCAGTCGGAGAGGCACTTTTAGTTTAAACTTGATGTACTTCTGAATAGTCTCATGCATACCCAGCAGTGCTTCACTAAAGGAGAGATAGGGGAAATTGCATTTGGTGCCTCAAACAATGAACGTGGAAACACACCATGTTTAAATAGCAGATCACAGACAAGAAGATCACAGCTAACAGATAAACAACAATGTCTGGATTGTTCACTTACTTTTGGAGATATTCCTCAGAATCACACAGTTTTAAAACATACTGCCCGCTTGTTCTGGGAGTGACTTCCAGCAGATGGAAGAGTTCATCAATCAGACTCTTCACTGTCTTGTTCACTGGATAAAAGATTAGAGTTCAGAGTCCACACACTTCTGCCAACATGTGAGGTGACAGAAGAATGAGCTGAAGTGTCATCAAATACTGTAGTGCAGAACAAGGTGGTATATTAATAAGTAAACTCAAGTACAAGTACAATTTTGTGGTTCTGCTCCTTTATGCTTGTACTTTTTACTCCACCACATTTATATGACAGCTATAGTAAGATATGATGCTTTATCATAGATTAAAGGCCTGCACACCCACACAGGCGTTTTCAGTCATGTGGCTGATTAGACATGCTCAGGTTGAATTTGTGCAAAGCTCTGATAGGATCTACATGAGGTCCCATGTACTAATAAGAATGAAATACTTGTAAATTGTCCCTCAACAAAATTTACAAAATCTTGGTTGAGCCCCAAAACCCCCGAAAAATTTACATAATGTGTGCATCCATGAAATTCTTTACACACAAGCTTAAAACAGTGTTAGTTTACTCTAAACTTCATTATTCTGATTATTATTATTATTATTATCATTTGCAGGTGTGACATCAATTGAGATTTTTAATGAAGCTAAATAAATCTCTTCATTCTCTGTGTGTAAAAACAACAATTATTGTAAGTATTATAAGTGACTATGGTATTATGTTGGTTAATCTTACCTGTGGTGGGGAAGGGGATCTGGTGATCATCCCAGTCAGTGGCCACAGTGATATTTACCTCCACCTGCTGCAGCAGGGCAGGGTGGATGTGTAACAATCGACCACATACCATACCCGAGTTATGAACACTGTCTGTGTGCTTGTACCTTGACATTAACCTGCCAGACAGAAAAAAAAGGGTGCTAGCGTGAAAGTGAAACTATGCTGACAAACATGTTCCATATTTAAACTTCATATGAAAAAACATGATTCATTTCAGTTCTCTGATGGTAAAAAAACAATGTTGAACTGAAACAACAAAGCAGAAATCATTAAGTTTCTGTTAAAAAAATAAAATACAACTACAGAGGATCCCATAATTAAAAGCTACGATGATTACAAAATTAATGCTATCATATTTACCACATTTTTAGATCCTGGAGCACTTTATCGTGTTGTATTATGTTTCTCTATTGTCTGAGTTGTTAGTAAAATATGTCCAGAGGAATGCTTTGTCTCTACCAACGGGTACAAATAAAGTAACCTAAACCTGCAACTGTTTGTCATTTTGAGAGTTAGGGTGGATATTTAAAACAAAAACTTTACTCTCTTACTTGGAAGTTGCAGCACAAAAAGAAGCCAGACTCTTGGTGCTGCCTTGAGGAGTGTCTATTAGTTTGATGGTCCATGGGTCCTGATGTGAAAAAAAAGAAATGTGGGTTATTCGGGTATTTTTAATGAATCATAAAAAGAGCTCTTTGTCTTTGCTAAGGAAGAAACCACTAGAGATACTCACATGATTATCTGCTTCTGTCCTGGAACGGATCAGTTTTTCAGAAGGCTCACTGCGGTCAAAGGAAAACATCTTTTTGCTGAGGGGTGCTCGTGTCCTGGGGGGAACAGGAGGGGGTCCTTGTCTACCTGGCAAACATGCAATAGGACAACTAGATAGCCTGGTCCTGACTGGAGGGGGAGGCCCATTTGTGCTTTGGTGGTGTGTATTCCCAGGATCTACTCTTCCATGACCCCAGGGCTGGTCTGGCGGTTTGGGTTGGGAGTTAGGTGGGGCTATGAGCCCATCCAAGGTGCTCTCATATATAGGTTCCGCATTATCTTCAGGAAAGATGTCAAGGTAGTCGTAAGTGTGTGTTTCATGTAAATCCTCAGTAAGAGGTTTGGGGGCATCTGAAACACTTGCGTCTTGTCTCTGGATTGTTCCACTTTGCCTTTGAGGAGGATCCATCACGTTTTAGACGGTGCGATACCTCAGCATGTCCTCACTTCATATCATGGAAGAATGCAGAACTATGTAACATTATGACAAACAAAGACTGAGTTACAATAGTGTATAAGACTGCAGGCAGGACAAGTAGGCACTTTTATGACTGAGTCTAACTGAACCTGAGGGTTTACGTTGGTCTAATAATTAACTAGCTTTCAAATCTTAACAGGAAATCTACCAGTCCGCGCCACTTCACAAATGAAAATTCTTTTGCACACTTGTGTTAAGTGAAACAACACAAAAGTCTTTAATACCACCACTATCATTGCATTATACATCATAACATGTAACTTTAATTTTAATTGTGCTTAACCTGAGCTCATTAAGATACTGTCAAAACTCTAATCTACAAGAACACAGACTGATACTGTATTATTCAGTAGTAAAGCAGACATTTACTATAAGCATATTCAAAGTTTATCATTTTAGATTAGCTCCAATTAACAAACTTAATCTTAGTTCAAAGTCAAAGTACTCTTTTTGTTGGCAACTTACTGTCAAAGCTTCCATCCTGTGTAGACGAGGTGAATGCTTCACTGGAACCATGCTCAGCAAGTTAGACCAGTAAAACATTTGGAAAGCTTCCTATCTGTTTCCTGCCAGTGTCCCTCCCCTCTTATTCCTCCTGCAGCCCATAACAACTCTCCCTCTGCTGGAGGACAGAGAACATTACGTGTGTGTGTATACTGTGGTTGTAAAGATAAGTTAGTTCCAACAAACAAATATACAAAACAATGCAGATGCATTAAGAGTTTATTTTTTATTGTTGATGATACCCTTATTAATGCAATTAACACAATATACCACTGTGCAGTAATTATTCCCACAGTAAAACTTTTAGGAATCAGTAATTATTTTTTTTTTCCAATAAAAATGTAAACATGACAGTCCCCTGTAATAAACACATCTGTCCAGTTTCAACTGACTACATCACATCCACTCCTCAGTCAGGAATGTCATTGAGCAGGTTGAGGTACATGAGCACAGTGCTGAAGTGAAATGTAAGCAGCAAGAAGGAAATGTGTGTTCACATACTCTACATATGACACATGAGGTAAGATTGAATTACTTTGGGGTTTTTTTAGGTGAGGAAACGTTTCGACCTTACAGTAGGCGTCCTTTGTATTATCATCAACTTCCTAGTCAGTTCATTTAGGACACTAGTTGTTTTCTACATGTTGATTATTGGATTGTAAATTTCTCAGTAAACTGTAGCTGTGTCTGTTTGCCTCTCTATAGCAATAATTATGAGTCTTCCTGGGGCTGAGAAACGTGGCCTTTCAGTGGGAATTACAGCAACGGCACTCCACTGAATGTGTCACAAAGGTGTCAGCTGAGGTGCACGGAGAGCAGAGGGGTGTTTGAGGGAAGAGATCGAGCAGAAAGAAATGCATTTCAACCACACAACTCCACATATTTCACCCACAAACCCCAAACCTGGATTTCCTGGTTACTATGCACTCATCCCCTTTGTACTACTTACTTTGATTGGATGTATAGTGGCAATGGTAAGAAAAGTTCTGCATAGTTCATTTCACATGACTGCATCATAGGTTTATCTTTAAGTTTTTATTGTTGTGCTTTTCTTCAGGTTATTTATATCAGGAGGAGATCAAGGTAAGATGGTTTCTGTAAAGCATCACTTTTAGATCATTTTGGTGTCTCGTGTTATGTTATGTTCTGTCACAATTTGGTTTCATTTGTGTGTTTTGCTTTAGATTAGACGAACTGCGCCACAGGCTGATTCCTCTGTACAGCTATGACCCAGCAGAGGAACAAGACAACTGGGGGGACTCTGGCAAGGAGAACGAGGAGGAGGAGCTGGCTGTGAGCACACCACTAAAATTTTACTAATTATATAAAATAATCCTCCATTTTCTGTCTTATATATGGGATGGTAATGAACTTACACAGAATTTGTTTTTCTTTATAGGAACCTTTGTACAAGGAGGGAAGGCTGTCCTTTTCATCCGACTATGGGATATGAGCAAAAATGAAGAAAGAAAGATCAACATTCCTAATTAGAGGAAGAAAACTTCCTTTATTTTTTTGTATTGCAGATGCTATTCAAATATAGACATATTAGCGCCACGTCCAATCATTCAATTACTATTTCCTCCCTCTATGCAAAACAGCAGATGGCACTGTAATCCTGTCTTTTATATATCTTTTCCAAAATGACTGGGTATGAGGTGTTATTTTTTGGGCAATAAACTGAAGGCTAAAATCTAATTTAAAAGCTATTTGTGTGTGTGTGTGTGTGTGTGTGTGTGTGTGAGTGTGTATCTTTAAAATTATTTATCAGTTAAGCTGAAAGAGCTTCAAAGACACACCTGTTTCTGCTTGGTAATCAGGGGGTTTGCTGGTGTTTGGAGGTTCCTCAGGTTGACATAACATCACTCATTCAGGGACCTTTTACAGTACAGGAAGATGGGATCACCAAGAACAACCAGGTGAACAACACACCTATACAAGCAGTTGAAACCCATACAACCCATAATTAATCAATTATATGTAATTACATTTTTTGTCTCATTCCTTTTTAACTCTGTGTGTGTGGGTTTACACTAGTTTGGACGTCCATCTGTTGGGACCACGCTGGTTCCTGACCTCCATCCTGTTGGCCACAGCTGTGGTCCTCCCTGCTTTGAGCCTAGACAGCCTGCTGTGTTACTACTGTCCTCTGCAGCACAAAGGCAATTCCTGCCCCAACATCACAAGCCAGTGTCTGCCTGATCAGCGCTGTTCCAGCTCCAGAGGTCGCTACGGCTCCATCCACATCCTGTCTGCTCAGGGCTGCGTGGACACTGAACTCTGTGGCTCCCATGAAAGCATCTCTTATCGGGGGGTCAAGTACAATGTCACCCACACCTGCTGCTGCAAAGACAAATGTAACTTCCAGCCAAAGTCTGACTCCAACATTAAGATGCTACTGGGCATGATCACAGACAAAACAAATTTCACTAACATCACTAATGTTCTTAGAGAGGAGCCTTGGGATTCATGTGCAAATTACACAACATTAAGGAGCTCCACGTCACCTACCACTGTATCATAGAAGTGCTTGTAGAAGGCTGGGGAGAGGCCTGTTAGCCATAGGTACTTACCTGAGTCTCCACAAGGTGGCCACACATTTACATGTTTTTGATTATTAGTATTTTACAAAAACATGTATCATGATCAGTGTTTTGCTCCGGAGAGAAAAAGGTGGACTTGTCAGCCATCCTTCTGGTATATAAGAGTAAATGCATTATTTCTGTGGTTACTGATGAATTCAGCAAAATAAAAGCGCCATGATTAAGATCCCACTTGGTGTAGTTGTTCTGTTCTTTACAAGCAGGTGTGCTTGAGGGTGTGGCCTATGCAGGAAGACCTGGAGTCAGTAGTGAGATTAGAGCTCATCAGGAGAAGCTCTCAAATATTTTACCTGTCTGATTTACTTTTAAATCTTTAAAATGAACAGGTGAGTCTACATAATATATTTTTTTAAGTTGCACACTGAAAATGTTTGTCATCACTATCTGCCTATGCAGCTTTGAACACTTTGAATGTGACTATCAGTCGGGATCATTTACACCTGTGCATAGGAATCAAGGCTAAGAAATTTCGATCAATTAACTTGAATTTCTTTGGTTTCAGTGATGGTCTAAATAGAAGAAACACAAAACAGGGATAACAAAGTGATTAAAAAACTGACTTTATATGTCAAAGTCACATGGAGTACTATAAAGCCTATGAAAACAGTTCTTTTGTGACTCTGAAGGAGCTTTGTCTAAGATAATTACATGAGGAATGTGATTTGATCTTGGTTCTGAGACCACGAATGTTTAACATGTGGTACAAATTGGGGAAGTGGAATTTGAAAATGGTAGCATTTACTTAGCAGAAAAGGGTCTAAATTAAGTTAAGTTGAGTTATGGGAAGTGTAGGCTCCATTATTTTTAAGTGACCTAACAACAGTAAGTACTGGAACAGCAGTACTAAATTGTTAAAATGTTTTTTTTTTACTTATTTTGTTTTATAGCCACAATATTAGGTTGTGCCAGTAAAATACCAAATGTCTCTCTTCAACTTGCAGGCCGAGCACATTTCAGTTCCTGCGTGTTGCTGTGTTGTGGTTCTACCTTCTCCTCCCCTCGGTGCTCTGTTATAACCTGCGTTGCTATTACAGCCCCATCCTGGAGAATGAGAAGACATTTAAGCTCATTGTGACAGAGTGCCCCCCTCACGAGCTGTGCTTCAAGGCAAATGGCCGCTATGGAAACCACAGCGCCCTGTCGGCCAGGGGATGCATGTTGGAGAAGGACTGCAGCCTGGTGAAGAACATCCGCCTCAAGGGAACTGTCTACATCACGAGCTTTGACTGCTGTGATCGGCCATACTGCAACTCCTGCCCGGGCATCACAGCCAAAGCCCTCTACACCATTGTAACACTTGTGACTGTAGCTGTGATGGCCGACAGCTTGTGACTAAAGGCTTCAGATGTTGTGAGCATCTTTTAGGGGTTCATGTCGAGGGGAAAGCTTTCAACACCAAGTGAGCAGTGCTCTGGCATCTCTGCAGCCTCCGTATTGTGTAATGCAGAGGGTCTGCAGAAGTATATGGTGCATGCCCAGTCTGAAGACACTGAGGTGTGCACCAACGTGAGGATACACATTTTAAAACGTGTGTGTGTGTGTATATCTTTTACAATACTAAGTAACAAAAATCAGTTTCGTGTTTTAATGTCAATAAAATAACGCAACAAAAATAAAACACTGAATAATTTTCTGATATTGTTATTAACAATTAAGTGATCAACAAGGATTGTCTGTGTTTCCATATGCAGATATAACTTATTCCTCTGTGCCATAGAGCTCAATTGTTGTCCAAAAATACATCAGTGGGCCACACTGTTTCACCGGGTGACATGTTCCTTCATCACAATGGACACTGTAGTTTATTTTGAGACAATCCCACATACACCATTCTGCTGCTGTAAATACTCATTGGAGCATCTAATATCTTTTTATATGGCTTAGGGCTGAGTGCCACAGACAGGAAAAAGTCTAAGGTTTATCTTTTAAGAGTGAAAGAGAGCAGCTCAAGCAATGTGTACAGTTTGAGGTTTGGACAGTTCTTTATTTCCCTTTTATAAGGCTGCTGGGTCTCCCCATAGTGGATATACATATATATACAGGAGATTGCTATACTGGAGTTACACTGAGGGCAGAGGGTCCATATTACACAGACTTCAAAAAACAACACTAATAGAGCCTCACCTCCAGGTTTCAGAAATCAGCAGAGAGAGAGAGAGATGGAAAGGGGGGAAACAGCACAAGAGAAGAGGGAAGAGAAGGAAGAGGGGAGATGATGCAGTCTGAGAGCTTGACTCGACCGCCTAATAACTTAACACTAGAAAATAACATACAGATTTCACGCACAGTGCATCTTAAATAGGTTACGTGAAGAACCATTTACCATAAATATCTGTATTTTCGGGAACCAACATATATAAAAAATCATTTAAAAAAAACAAAAATCAGTTGTTCAGTCTTTAATTTTTTTCTTATTTTCTCCTTTCCCCATCGTGCAAATCGTTCTTTCGTTTCTTCTTCCCGCGAAGGCTGGGCTTTTTCCCGCCTTGCCCACATCTCTTCCAGATAAACGAGGAAAAAGGAAACAAAACCCAGCACCCCCTCCCCTCCCCCCCTTAAAAGCATATGAATTAGTAGAAAACGAACAAACAAATGAACAGAACACCACAGTCAACTCATCACAAAAAGAACCCACAGACACACAGAACAGCAAGAACACGGTACTCTTTTTTTTGTTTTTTCTTTTTCTTTTTTGAGCTTCTTCATCACCGCTATTCCTCTTAATGGTCAGTATCATCGTCGTGGTCTTTCTCTTGGCGTACTGGTTGGCGGCAGTGGAGTGGTCCTCCCCCGACGGCTCAGTGGAACTGGGAGGCAACTCTCCAATCGGCTGGTCAGTTCAGCAGTGATATATTATCTCTCAATTTCACAGTGTGGTAGGAAAAGGAGGATGAGGAGAGGGAAGCGGGTGTGACGGGGAGGTAAGCCAGAGGGAAGGTTATTGGAGGTGGTAACAGGAATCAGAGGAACCACAGCAACAATTAGAAAACAACTAGAAACCCCGACCGTCCATGAAAAAAGTAAACAAAATGGCCGCTTCACTCCTTTCTTCTGAGTTTCATTCCCGCCGACCCATGTAGTTGGGAAGGCCTTGATTGGCTAGCGTAAACTGATTGGATGGCCCGTGTTTGTGGTAGAGGGTAGGGAGAGGTGGGTGAGAGAAGTCTAAGGCTGACTGGAATCCACTGATGGATGGGACTCGACAGGGCGATATGTCGTCAGGAGAAAAAGGATGAGCATGGCGGGTCGATGTGTGATTGGCAAGTCAGAGGGCAAATCCCTTCTTGGTAGGTTCAGGCACGCTGTTGCAGTGCCCGCCTCTTGCGGCTGTAGTAGTGACGCGCGCCGGTCTGTCTGGCAAAGTTCATCATGTAGTTTTGTTTACGAGTGCTGTAGGGATACAAAGACAGTAAAAGAGGGAGAGAAAAAGGAGGAGTGTGAACATTAATGACCAAGTAAAAGGCACAACAAATCCACGCATTCCCATGCACACACTCCCATCCATGCACACAAACACACGAATGGTCGAATGCAGCTTTCGTACTCACTCAGACCCAGGTTCATGCTGGAATTTTAATCATGTTTCAGCCATAACCTCAAACACTCAACGGCTGTATGGGTCTCATGGCTGGGAGAATGGGTGGCGCTACTCTACAAAACTGGATTTGTTTACGTTCTTGCACAAAAATGAGCAGCTGGACGATGAACATGGCGGTAGAACTAGCTACATGTATTCAAGACCAAATGTCACAAGACAAGACATGGGACACAGAGTCTACAAACATACTACCACAAATACTAGAGAGAAACTCTGAGTGTTTGAGGTCAGAGTTAACAGCCATCACTGGGAGAAAAGAAAAATAACTAAACCAAAGCCATAAAAGTGCAGGGTGGTGAGCAGAGAAGGGGTGGTTTTGAAACTAAGAGACACAGAGAAAAGCTGCGGTAGATCGCTCTTGCTTAGCCTGTTCATTGCCTCTTCCATCCAGCAGGGCGGTGCCAGTGAGCCAGGAGTGCAGCCAGGGCAGGCAGGGGCCTCTGCGAAGCGGGGTGGGGGTGGGGGAATCAGGAGGGGTGGGGGAAGGCAAAGGATGGTGCGTGTGTGTGTGTGAGAGATGGGTGATGCTGTGGAGGTGGAAGTGTCAAGGCGGATGGGAGGGATGGCTGGTAAACTGCATGTGTTTGAGAATGCGTGCGTGTATGTGTGTGAAGAATTCTTTTTCTGATTTTTGGGTCAGAAACCGGAGGGTAGTGAGGAGGGAGCTCCTGGTTCAAAGTCATGTTGTTGCCATGAGTGAAAAAGGGGATGGAGAGCTGTTGCAACATACGATCCGTAAAGCCATGCAAGGAGCTGGATGGAGGAGGTTAGTCAGATGAAACTCTCCCACCAAATGGGCCATTTGAAATTAATGATGCGAGATGCCCTGCATTGTTGGTATATGAATGAAAAAAATAAAAAGACTTCAGTGCTTGGGCTGGAGTGAGATAAATGCTGGACCAACGAACAGTAATCTTTTTCAAGTAGCATCATTGAATTGTGTGTGTTGGCTTGTAAATTAGCAGCTAGGCCAACAACACTACAACAGTTTGCAGTAAAAGTATTTGCAAGAACAAAACAAACAGATATAGGTATAGTGATGGATTACATCACACATATACACACAAACACAGTACCACTGACATTTGTACATGTCAAGAATTACATAAAAAAATGCCTCAAGGATTGTGTCACTGCACATTTAAAATCAATGCCATTGATAGGAATTTGTTTTCATCTGGTGACATTGTGTTGAACCCTTTTAGGGAATGCAATGTCATAAAATAGAAACTTTGCCACCACTCAGGATTTTACTGCCCTTTTATGCCTCCATTCATTGTGTTGTTGTGAATATTGTTTTGCTTTTCTGTCTTAAGATCTGTGTGTTGGATCGTTTTGTCAGCGAGCTTCCACCTGGACGCTGTAAGCAGCTGGCCTCCCTGTTGACCTGCCTGGGGCTTGAGTTAAAGCGAGGGCATGAATATGACTGTGGTGATGATGAGGAGGGCTGGGTGTGTCAGTGAAAGTGAGGGAGGGTGTGCACAGTGTAACAGGGAGAAGAAAGGGTCAGGAGGAGGGTGAGGGGAGGGGGCTGCATTCAGGAAGAGGCGGAGAACTTACCTGACACTACAGCCATGCCAGAGGGAGCAGAATACAGAAGAGAGCAGAGGTTAGAGCGCGAGAGGGGAGAAGCAGGAGGAGGGGACTGCTGTCTCGCAGAAAGGTCTGGGGGGGTAGGAGCCCCGGCCTGGGGAGGCAGGGGCCCAAAGCGGGTGGAGAAGGGAGGAGAGAGGAGAGGCATAAAGATAGTCAGAGGTTCAAGGAAGGAGAAGTGAGACGGACAGACAGAGAGAATGAAGAAGAAAGAATATGAAAGAGGAATGGAGAGCAGAAGAATAGTTGGTGCAGATTGAGTGAGGAGACAGCAGATAAATGTAACAAAGATGAAGAGAGAAAGTGAGAGACAATCACAGAGAGGTGGAGACAGAGAGCGAAATACAGGAGTAATCCATCCGTTGTGTGCCAGAATGGGAAGAGAAAAAGAGAAAAGGGAAAGAGCGAGTTTTGAGGAAGGAAAGAAGAAGGAGGAGGAGAAAAGGGAGGATGAGGAGTAGGAGGAGGATGAGGAGTAGGAGGAGGAGGAGGAGGAGGAGGAGGAGGAAGAAGAAGTGTGAAGTAAGGTAGGATATGATGCGGCGCGAGCAGAGGAGTGAGCATGACCACAAGATCAAACACGTTTTAAGCAGCAGGGAGGAAAGGCGGGTGGAGCAACAGAAAAGATTGAGCAGGAGTTGGAGTGAGAGGAAGAATGTGTGAAGGAGTGGAGGAGTGGCGAACAGAGAGAAATAAACAACAGAGCAAAGTGTGAGGATCACAGTCACTCTTTTCAGCAGACACTGTTGAAAACCGTGCAAGTGCGAGGGAGGGAGTGGGACAGGTCACGACCACTTAGACCAGGGACAGCTCAGGTTAGGCATTAGTGTGTGTTTGTGTGTATGTGCAACTTTGAATGAACTGTACAAGAAATATCAGAGTGTGACTGTTACAGCTGTATGCAGCATTTGAAATGCATTGGGTACACATCTGAATGAACAATCAGAACCCACGTAGGAGGGAACATTGCTCTGATACCCACAGGAACATGCAGAAAATGCATTCAAAATGCTTTTTGATACTGCCATGTTAAGAATATGCTAGCTGAGTACAGACCATATTCATGATATCTTCAGTGCCCTACAGAATCTCCAGCTTTGTTATTTGAATTATATATATAATAATATTTTAAAAACTGGCATTGTCTTCCACATAGAGAAAATGTTTACTGATCCTGGTTACAGACTAAGATTCAATATAAATGTAAAAAGGGAAAGAAAGAAAGAAAGAATCAGTGAATCAGTGCAGGGTGTCTGCAAGTTGCATCAAATCAAATGTAAAAAAAAAATTGTAAGATTTTCTTATTCCCAGTAGAATGAAATGCAGGACTAATTTTTGTACATGAAATGAATGGGAAAATTAAAACAAAAATATACCATTCAGATTATTGGCCTGTGTGACAAAGCTGACTTCACAGTAGAACAAAGACTCACAGTCATAGATGT